GAAAATGAATCAATTCCAAGATCTTCAGTAGTAAGACAAAATGATGCTCCCAGAACCCTGCATTTTCCATAACAGAGACTTAGCGGTATCTTGATTTTGGATTCCCCAGGATGCTGCTCCATCTGCATGTTACCTGAAATCCTTGATCTCTGAACTTAAACTTGATTGGGAGGAATCCTCCTGAAGACATTAATATACTTTACCATTCCTGGAGAAAGACTCCAGATATTTCTCTCATGGTGACATTTGAGATATTTGCATTCTTGCAAAGCTGATTAATAGGCAATGATGGCAAGCCCAGCTACACGATCTGTTTTGATTCCTTTCTTTCCCATTATGTATTTCCCTTGAGCCATCTCTCTTCAACGTCCCCTGATCCAGGGATTTTGCACTCTAGATAATGATGGCATGGTTTCCACACTCTCCTGTGTGCTCACTTCTCAATTCTTTGCCATAGTGGCTCCTGTTGCTGCCTTGTGCTTTGGAATTGCCTAGGCTTGTGAAGGCTGGCTTCTAAGAATAGTTTCCCATTCATTCCTTCATGTTTCAGCTGGAAAACATCCTCAGCCTATTCCTGAACTAAAACTGCTGTTGATGTTTCTGCTGCTTGAATTCCTAGGTGTATTGGTTGGAATAAGTTTCGGCTATGAATGATAGAAAACCTTAAATAACTGTGGGAAGGTAGAAGCTTATTTCCTTCATGCAAGTGTGTATTTCAGCATTCCAGGGCTGTAGAGTCCTCCATAGCGTCAGGGATCTAGATTCCTTTGACATTGATATCTCACTATGCATGGCTTTGACCTCAATGCCCGATATGCAGTTATCTACATCCTAGGCTACAGGAAGTAGGAAGGGATGAAAAGCAAAGCAGAGGGTGCTTGTGTCCAGTATCTTAAGGAAGTCTCTTGGAAGCTGTCATATGAGACCTGCTTATATCTTGTTAGCTGCAATTTGGACACATGAGCATCCTGAGCTGTAAAAGTATGGCCATTCAGGATAACTGATACTGGAATGTAGTTTTCATTTTAGGCAGCTTTGCACTCAACCACACTTCATTAATTATTGAAGAAAAGGATGGATATTGTGGGCAACTGGACTAGATTAGTTGCACTGGGACCTGTTGAGGACAGACACCTCTGCTGAGCCCTCAGCATACCATCATCCCTTGCTTTGATCTGTCCAGTTTCCAGCAGTACTTCTTTCGGCTCCTTTTCAGCAGTAGTGGATGTGACCTAGTGCTTGGTTTCTCTCTAGGCCTTTTAGGGAGAAATAGCTAAATTTGTTACAATATAACTTACTTTTTATGTTGATCCCTTTCCTTCCCTAATGTAAACAGGTCTAATGTTAGTTGTAGTTTGATTTTTTTTTTTTTTTTAAACTTTCACTCTTTTCTGGGCCAGACATGTGCTTATATAACATTTGGTTCTAGATTTATTTAATGGGGCCTTCAGTTGTTGAAAGATAAGTCACTAGGCTTTGGTCTGCCAAAAGCAACCATTGTCCAAAAAAAATCTTGGCCACTCTCACTTTCTTAAATAATCTTAACTGGCATGCGTTCTCTGATTGGATTAACAGCTAATCTGAGCTTGGATTCTATTTATCACTGTCGTGCCTGGCTCTCTTCTGTTACCTGTCATCTTGTTGTCTTAATTCTTTCTTAATTCTAAAAATTTCTCAGGCATGTTTCCTTCGGGGCACAAGAAGCTCTTGTATTCCTTTCTATAATTATAGTGACATCTGGAAATTCATCCAATAATTTCTTGAATTGTTTTGCTTTAGTCTGGTCTTTCCTCTCAAATTGTCCTGACTTTCACTGTCCCAGTCTTTAAAGAGTAGTTCCCACTGGTTCTTACCAAGGAGTCTCTATGTAGTTTAGAGCGACATAAAGAGTCCTTTGCCAATAGTGGCCTATATTCTTGGTCCCTCTAGGAATCAGTGCAGTTCACTGAAAATTTGCTTCCATTCTTGTTAGATTTCTTTGGGTCCAAGTTGCCATTTCTGTCTCCAAATAAACCTGAAAATGTCTAGCCACCTAATCAAACAACTGCTAATATGAATTAAGCCCTAAGTACATCTTTTCTCTTTTATGTGTTGATCTGTTCTTCAATTTCATTTTTCCTTTTATATCTATTTGACTTTTTCTCTATCGACTTTTCCTCCAAAAAAGACTTTTCCTTCTCAAGTTTAAGTATTCTTAGTTTATTGGTTCTCATTCTTCCATTGCTCCTATCCTAACACTGAAGCACACTCTGAAAACCTCTTCAGACATTCCTTGACGTCCTGAACAAACCTGATTCCTGGAGACAGACTGTTCCAAGCACAGTTTAATTGCCTAGACTAATTGCCCTTTAATCTTTGGTTTTAAAACATTTAACTTAATTGTGTCTTTAACTTAGGTATTTTTCATTATAATACAGGCTCCTGTATCTTTGCTTAGTTTTCAATAAAAGCCTTCCATGGTGTCTGCAGAGTGGGAGGGTTAGAAATCTAGAGCTGTGGTCAGAGTCTGTGTAATTTACAAATCCAGTTAAGTTAGGACCACATGGTGGGAGAAGGTTGACTCTTGAGTCTCTGGATAGGCAATATGATTCCAAGATGTTCTGGGACATCACCTATGCAGGCTGGCATTAATAACTGAAAACCAAAGCCTCAGTCTCCAGCATTCTGTAGCATACATGCTGCATAAAAAACCCACTGTATGGCCCCAGGTACGGTGGCTCACTTGAGGTCAGGAGTTCAAGAACAGCCTGGCAACATGGTGAAATCTCATCTCTACTAAAACTACAAAAATTAGCCAGGCATGGTGGGGGTGCCTGCAGTCCCAGCTAGTCGGAAGGCTGAGGTGGGAGAATCGCTTGAGCCTGGGAGGTGGAGGTTGCAGTGAGCCGACATGGTGCTGTTGAACTCAAGCCTGTGAGACAGAGTGAGACTCCATCTCAAAAAAAAAAAAAAAAAAAAAAGAAAGGCCCTCAGAAGGATGATTAGGCCATGAGGGCAGCCTTCATGGATGGGATTAATGACCTTATAAAAGGGTTTGCTATAATTTCAATGTTTTGATGTTCTCTCCAAAATTCCTGTTGAAACTTAATTCCTGCTGCAACAGTATTAAGAAGTGAGGCCTTTAGGAGGGTGATCAGGCCAAGAGGGCAGAGCCTTCATCGCTGGGGTTAATGACCTTATAAAAGGGCTGGAGGGAACTAGCTAGGCCCTTTTGTCTTTCCATCCTTTCATCCTATGAGGACACAGCCTTTGCCCCGTCTGGAGAATGCAATATTCAAGGTGTCATCTTGGAAGTAGAGACTGCACCCTCACTGGACACTGAACCAAGATCATGGACCTTCCAGCCTCCAGAACTGTGAGAAAAAAATCTAATTGTTTATAAGTTCCCCTAGTCTCAGGTGTTCTGTTATAGCAGCAGAAATGGACAGAGACAATGGATGACAGTGGAGCATGTTAAATAATATAAAGAAGACACAATCATCTAAATCCAGAAAGACAAATAATCCAATTGCTTTAACAAATAAGTGGCATTTGAAAAAAAGGGTGAATCGTTATAGATTATAAGACCCTTAAGAACCACACCAACCAAATGTAATTCATGGATCTCACTTGGAACCTGATGAAACAAACCAATTGCAAAAAGACATTTTAAAAAACCTTTACTTTTGAAATAATTTCAGACTTTCAGAAAAGTTGCCATAGTACAAAGAATCTCCATAAACTTTTTACCTAGATTCCCTAAATGTTAACATCCTGCCATGTCTACTTTACTATTCTCTATATATCCATGTTAGTTTCTTGGGAGTAAATAGCAAACAAACTGTTCCTTTAACTCTAAATACTTCAGTGTGTATAAATATTTCCTGAAAACAGACATTCTCATACATAACCACAGTACAGTTATCAAAATTTGGAAATTAAGATTACCATAACATTTACTACAGATCTTATTCTAATTTTGCCAATTATCCTGCTAATGTATTTTGTAGCAAAGGAAAAACGTTTTTTCCTTGGTCTAGCATCCAATCCAGGATCATGCTATGCTATCTTTAGCCACCTTTAATCTGAAATAGTTTTTCAGTCTTTGTTTTTTTATGATCTTAAGATTTTTGAAGAGTAAAGGCCAATTATTTTGTAGAATGTCCTTCAAACTTGGATTTTTTTTTTTCCTTTTCTTGAGACAGAGTTTTGCTCTGTTGCCCAGGCTGGAGTGCAGTGACATGATCTTGGCATACTGCAATCTTTGACTCCTGGGTTCAAGAGATTCTTGTGTTTCAGCCTCCTGAGTAGCTGGGACTATAGGTGCATGACACTATGCTCGGCTAGTCTGTGTATTTTTGGTAGGGACAGGGTTTGAACTCCTGACATCAGGTGATCTGTCTGCCGTGGCTTCCAAAAGTGCTGGGATAACAGGTATGAGCTACCATGGCCAGCTTCAAACTTGGATTTGACTGTTTCTTCATTATATACAAGTTATGCATTTTTGGTATAAATCTACAAAAATGATGTTCTGCTGTCCTCAGTGCATCTTATCAGGAGGCACACAATATTTATCAAGAATGAAATGGATAATATTGTAAACATACATTTTGAGACAAGTGGGGAAAACTGAAAACAAACAATATTGAGTTAATGTTAATTTTTTTAGGTGTTATAATGGTATTGTGGTTATGTTTTCAAAAAAGTATTTATCTGTCAGTGATATACACATTGCAGGGAAAAGTGAAATTAACTGGCTTGATGTCTATTTCTAGGGAGTCTGGCAACCCTAGGCAGAAGGCAGTAATGATAATACAATCAGCGCTTGATTCTTCTAATATAATGGCCAATTTGCATATTACCCAGGTCTTTGACCATTTCTTCTTTCTTCTGTGGCTTTTCTTTTAGTTACCACATTTACAGCTCTCCCAATATAGTACAAAAAGGATATTCAAATTTTGCAACTTGTTGGATGAAGATCCTTGGGGAGGAAACTGAAACTACTGATTGAAAAAATCAGGTTTATAAATAATCTGAATATTTCATTTCTTTGTAATTGGCATATCCTTCTATGGATAATTATGAGTTTAATGAAATGAGATCACTTAAGATGATCACACAATAAAACTTTACAGTCAAATTACAAAGTCTTCATCTTATTTTCCTACTTCATTTTTTATGTAGTTCTTAGTAACTGCATTTTTCTACTTTATTTTTTGAAAAAAACATTCATTTTTGAAAAGTTTATTTCATGAAGGACTAATCCTTTGCTGATGTTCAAATTTAAATTATTCTTTCATGTCTATCTCATACGAGAAAAACAAGAAAAATTGCTTCTGTGGTAGTTTCTTCTAGTTTTTCAAGCACTCTTGTAGTAGCAACTGGTTCAAAATACTGTTTTGTTTCAAAGCATACAGTTTAGATGTATCTTCACTGATGATGGGAACATCTTCATTTTGTTCTCGAGCTGTCAGGTCACTTTCACTGTCAGACAGTGTACACAGGAGAGTGTCATTTTCATAGGTTGGAAAATAATACCTGAAAACAACCACAGATAAATAGTATTAAATTACCAAACTAACACTGTCCAGGCAGCTGAATGTACACATTCACTATAATTTTGCTAGGTTTCCTTGCTAACAATTTCATAGCATTTTGCAAAGGCTATATTGGAGACAATTTCTGAGTTGCTTTCACTTTGACTTTTACTGGCTGACATCAATCTTACCAAATCCTTGCCTGCTGGCCACTTAGCCGCTGCTTGATAATCTATCATGATAAGAACCACACTATCTTCAAAGGCAGCTGACTCCAGCATTGGGTAGCTCTAGTTGGTGGATATACCTCTTCATATGAAGCTCAAAATGACATCTTTCTCATTCCTTTGAGTAGAAATGACATCTACTCAAAGAAATGAGAAAGATGTCAGTTCTAGTTCTTCCTTATAAGTTAACGAAGTTCAAATATAGTGATTTTTTTCAAACACAAATTCTTAATACTTGAGAATAGTAAGTTCTCCCTTGTGTTTTGTTTTTCAGCCTAATCATTACTCGTTCCTTCTTTCTAGGTAATCACAAAAGAAAAGATTTATGGACTATAAAGTTTGTTATTCTGATTCCTTCTTGGAACACCCTTTGGAGTTACTTTTGGAATCCTACTAAGGATTTTAATTTATATAAGAAGTATTATAAGAACAGAGTACCTTCACAAGTATGGGATTTTCTGAAGGAGAAAAACTGGAACATTCTGGTTAAAGTTCTGGGGGACCTGACTTAACAGTCCCTAAGAATAGAAGGAGCTCTGGGCAGCTAGAAACCCAAAGCCTCTCATAGGAGCCCTCAACTGAGGTTATCCAGAATGATGTGAGAACCAGTCCAGAAGGTTCTGGCAAAGGATACTTGGGAATCCAACAACAAATGACCAGCTGCTTAACGTTTTTAAAGTGCCAGTATACAAAACATATACCAAAAGTCCTAGCAGTGTGCAAACTCTGACATGGTAATTTTATTTCTAGGAGCTCAGTTTAATGAAATAATTAGATAAGTGTGGTAAAATTTAGACATATAGATATTCACTGTATCATTATTTATACTCACATTATTTATACTTTACTTATATAAGTTGTAAGTATAACCTATTTCTAGGGAGTCTGGCAACCCTAATACTTACAGCCTAGGTATCTAGCAGATCAGATTATATCCATACAATGGGATATTTGGCAACCATTGGAAAGGATACAACAGATGGATACTGGCTATAGAAAAATATTTACCATAGTTTGTTAACAAAATATAATTTAAAAATCTGTATCTACTTCACCTCTCTACACATGTATCTATCTCCACACCACAAATACTGAAAAATACTTGGTTTCATTTGTAAGAGGGGAATTATTCTAAAAATAAGCATTTTGAAGATTTGTATGTTTTTCCCCACACTACACTGATGTATACTTTTTATAATAAATATGTATTCCTTTTTTCTGTAAGTTTAAAGAAATTAAATTAAGGGACAAAATAAAAGAGTTGGAGCAAAGAAGTGCACATGTGGTTTCGCAGTACGTACTCCAGTTGATCCCACGTCTTTCTATCAGGGAGAAGTGAAGTGTGTTTAGTTTCTTCCATATGAGTTCTTAAGTCTGCTTTGGATTTGTACTTCACATGGCAGCCATAACATCTGCACTGGTGAACTTGCCTCCGAATAAAATTGACCAGTTTCACTTGCTGATAGAAATTTAATCCTGAAAATGACAGAATACAGAACCATCAGACAACTGCTCAGACCCATTCTTGGCACTGTTATAATTTCTTAAAGGAGCCACTTATCTTTATTAACCAACCTGAAGATGTAGTGCAATTATAAATCATAACATATATCAAGTAATAACAGCCCATACTTACATAGGGCTTATGGGCTAGGCACTATTCTAATCATTTTCCATGTATTAATACATTTAATCTTCACAAAACCCTATCAGATAAGTAGTATCATACCTACATTACACATTAGAAAACTGCCTAAGGTCACATAAATAGCTGTCAGCTGCAAAGTCCATGTTCTTGACTACTAGGCTAATTATATATACAATGTATATACATGTCTATAAAAGCAGCAAAGTAACACATCCAAGGACCTAGGAGAGCAGTGACTGAGCTGAGATGTGACAAGTGAGCTTTTTACTATCTTAGGTCTATTAGCAAGTCAGTACTTTATTCATGTCTTAATGCCCCAAATCCTTCTATTGTTGTGATACTGAGAATGATACAACTGGGTACACCTATAACAAACAATCCTAGCTATACTGCCCAACAGTGCAGTAGGTGTTTACCCTATCATTCACTCCTCATAACATTTTTTCTGACCTGAGGCCCAATGTCCTATAGCCAGTAAGTGTTGGAGCTGGAATCTGAACTCTAGTTTGACATAAAAATCCATATACTACTAGCGCCCTCCAGTTTATGATATATTATTAACCACTAACATATTTCATATGAAGCACTCATAAATGTAGGAAGAAGGAGTACATGAAATAAAAAACCATATTTGACTATTATGGTTGAGCATCACTGCTTCACAGAGAGTTCTGTCAAGCCATCTATAGAGAGACATACTTTGGTGGTACACTCTCCAATCAGCTACAGAACATAGGCATCGTTTACAGGTTGGTTTACAAAAAGCGAAGCATCACAGAAAAAACTTCCGAATCAAACTTACCAAGTTCTGACTTTATTTTGAGAAGATCAAATTCGTGTGCATCCTAAAAAAAGGAATGAATACATCTGTAAGCATATGAATTATTTAATCTTTCAGGCTAAATTTATAAACAGCTTATTCACAGGAGTTTGAGTAGTTTAGAAACTCAGTCTGAGTTTGGCGTCTTCTGCTTTGGAAGTTTTCTAACTACTTCCTTCCATACCCAACTTCTTTTTAAAGCATAGTCCAAACAAGTCATGTCACTCAGTTAAAATATTGTAATTGGGTCGGGTGTGGTGGCTTATGCCTATAATACCAGCATTTTGGAAGACTGAGGCAGGCAGATCACCTGAGGCCAGGAGTTTAAGACCAGCCTGACCAATATGACAAAACCTTGTCTCTACTAAAAACACAAAAATTAGCTGGGAATGGTGGCAGGTGCCTATAATCCCAGCTACTCAGAAGGCGGGGGCATGAGAATGGCTCGAACCCAGCAGGCAGAGTTTGCAGTGAGCTGAAATCGTGCCACTGCACTCCTGCGGGGGTGACACAGTGAGACTATTTCAAACAAAAACATTGTAATTGCTCATAGTTTATAGTTTTTACAATTTACAATGTATGCATTTTTGCAGCCTTCTAAAAATGTAGAAGTCTATGTATGCATTCTGCGGTGGGATAAAAGTATAGGTAAGATACGTTCTATTGTACTGTGCTTTTGGACTAGAATTATGGATATAGGTTTGTTGCCCCACAAGCAGATAGGTAATTTTTCTAAATTCTGCTTTTCATTTTTTGCTGTCAAATACTGTTTAAACCTGAAAGTTTCTCTTCAGTCACACCTTCCCATACATCATACTTACTTTTGATTTTCACAATGCAGACTTATTTTTTTGCTTGTTTGACACCTGCAATTGTCTGTCTGTGTAAATGTTTTAACCTACAATCTCACAGAGGTTAAAGATCATTTAACTCAATGGGATGGCATTTAGTGCAGCACCATATGCAGGATGATTAGGAATTTGTGATATGTTATCACTGAAAGTGACCAAGCAGAGGTTGAGGACCCCTGTCAATGATGCTGAGAAGGTAATCCCTACATAGGATAGGCATACTAAGGCTGCCTTCAAAACAAAGACATTAAGATATTATGAATTAAATCTAACACAGGAAATTATACACACATATTAGTGGGAACCTGTTTCAGAGAAACTAAAATTGGGGTAAATGCTTATGTTCTTTTGAGCACTTTCTAGGTCCTCATTGTACTAAACTAAGAACAGTATTTTTGAATGAAGATGAGGTGAAAGTGAGTGAAAGTGGAGAATATAGTCCACTATGGGCAGAGGTGGCTGCAGGAAGTAGAGGTGGAGATATCAGAATTGTCCAGTAACATTTTTCTCTTATAATCATCCCTCTGCCCACAAGCTGCAATATTGTCATGAATCATTAGATGTTCCCTTTCCCTATCACCCTTGTCGTAGCTAAGGATCAGATGTGTAGTGTGTGTGTCCTCTCTCAGGTCTGCTGGGGTGAAAAAGGTCTAGAACTGTTAGCTCCAAGCTTCACTCTAACATAAAAATGTCATCTAGAAGGGAAAGCACACACTAGAAAGTTCCCTATTTTCTTCTTTCCAAATCCTGGTACCTGAAGGAACTGTAGGATCATGCCCTAGACCCTCTCTACCCACCCTCCTTTTTCCCATTCCTCCAGGGGCTTTGTAAATGGTAATGTTCTCCCTTTTTATTCTCCTATTCACCAGCACAAGAAGCACTGGAAAAAAGATTCAGAACCTGTTCCACCTTCCGAGCTAGAATGATCTTGTAAGCATCTCAAAGGTGAGATGGCATCAGTGGTCTGAGAAATCTCACACTAACAGCTCACTCAGGTCAAGTCAACTGTACCAACTAAATTGCCATGAGCCGTGGTTCTCCCTGACAGCCCTAGCCTGTCTCTTCTGTTTGGAATAATGATCAAGAAACTAAAATATAAGCAGATGAGGGTACAACAATTACTAGCTTCCTCCTGTCAGAATAAAACAAATTTCAAATAAATACAGGTATCTTACCTCCATGTGGACATACAATTTCTCAATTGTTTCTGCTTGCTTTTCACAAAATAAGCAGACAGCAGAGGCAGGGTGCTCTTCCCAGTCAGACCAGTCACTGGATTAAAAATGAAAAGACAAAATATGGAGATTCCCTTCATTAAGAGAATATACTACATACTGACTTGGCAGTACTATCTCCCTCCTAAGAAACCCTACCAATCTCTTTCAACTCTGACATTTTGGTAAAGACTGTCACATCATATTATGATTCTCTGATATAGCTTTTGAAATTCAAAGCAGCACCATGAAATTAATATAAATAGTGAACAGGTGCCACTCCATTTTCTCCTATTTGCCATTCTTCTGCATAGCTATCTCAGTCTAGAGTCAGAGGAATGTTGTCATGAGACAATGAAGTTTAATTTGCAAAGGAGACATATCAGAAAATGTGATGCCCTCTCTCATTAACCACAGCCACTGAGTGCGCACGCTGTGAGGTGTGATGCTAGGAATGTGTTTCTGCATGACAAATAGTGTATTTTAAAAAGGCAAACCATGTCTCTTTCACGAGGGAAATACTGATCATTTTAAATTGGGCAAGCGTTAAATCTGGTGGAGATAGGGAACTCAAAAAGGATACCGGATCCCTTTTACCACTTTCCCTGCTCCTTGCATTTACTTTTTGAAATACTGTCAACTTCTTATCATTCCCAAATCAGGAAAACTGCCAGAAGGGAAGGACTGTGGAGATGAGAGACACATTCAAACTCAGATGAGAGAATTTCTAATGGCAAGCTCAGAAACGAACACTGATAAGACTCAAGATACACCTAACCCAATTCACATAGAAGCTTCCCTATTAGAAAACAGGAAACATTTTTCTTAATCCTATCCATCTAGAAGGAAGTTGCTATTCCTGGCCCAGGTCATGACTTACTATTTATAACCTTTGGTGTCATTAAAACTTCAACATTCACCCATTAAATATTCCAACTAGTACATCTTAATGGGAAAGATGTTTTCATTTCAGTCTGGAAGACTCTCTGTGATTCTCTACGCATCAAGAAAATTCAACAAATGGCAGCTCTCTACCTTTGGGTTTTACTTCACTATTAAAATAATAATAATTCAAAATCCTGAAGAGAAAGAAGGCCAAAAAGCTTTGACTGAAAACAATGTGAAAAATAAGGAATCGTTTTAGGTTGAAAAGAACATTTCTCAAGCTTATAATTTCAAGCAAAGAAGCTGTGAATGTTTAAAGTTAGTCTTCAATGGCCTGAACACAGAACAGGATTAACTCCAATGCATTTACATTCTCTATTCCAATGACAGCAACATGGAGAGGTCAAAGATCATATCACTTCAAGGTCTAAGCACCAACTCAGCATGCAAAGCACTTCGGAATGTATTTTTCTCTGAATTATATATTATTTGTGTGTTCAATTAATAGCTTTAATTTAATTGGAATAACAGTGTCTTGAGGAATTTTTATGTCAAAGTTATTTCAAATTCAAGTTTTTGTCACATTACATGAAGGGATGCATGGCTCAGAGAAGATATTTTTTCTTTTTATATTCCTTCTTCATAATTTAAACCAAACTAAAGCAGTGTCTTCTTACTCGTGAAATATTGCAATTAATTAGCAGCAATAACAAGTCTTACTCTTCCTGATGGTCCAGCAACTCCCGATCATCTTCCAACTGAACCTCTTCCCATGATTTTCCAAGTTCCTTTGAAGGAAGAACAATAGGATGAAAGAGATTGGGGGAAAGAGAAGGGAGAGAGTAAGCAGAAGTGTGAAAAAAAATCAAAGCCAAAAAATAAACAAAAACCACCTATGTTCAAATGGTTTTGAAACAGTACAAATAGGATATACAGACAGTCCCCAACTTATAATGGTTTGATTCAACAATTTTTTTGACTTAATGACAGTGCAAAAGCAATACAAAGTTGAAACCTTAATAAGATAATTTTTTGGAGAACAGCAATATCCTTTCAATCAAGTTCTTTTCTCTTAAATTTGAACCAGTGTTTCTCAACCCTGAATGTGTATTAGAATCTCTGGGATTCTAATGGCCTTTGTTCATTGTTATATTTCCAGGGACTGGCATACAGTGGGTACTATTACTATAAATTATTTTTTTAGTTGAATTAGAAAGTTGAACTCAATTTGTTAGAACTAAAAAAGAAAGAAAAAGATAACATTTGAGGTCAACTGAGATTCTACCTCAAAAGTTTTTTTTAAGGTGATTAAATGAGTGAGTTACTATCTATAAATAAATAGTACTAGGCTTGAGTAGGTGCTTTAGTACCTATTCAAATCTCTTTTATACCTTAGCAAAAGTGGAAAAGTTCCACTTTTCTGGGGCTATGTCTGGCAAGCCTAGTCATAGCGTTAGCAAAACTTTATGGAGTGATGAGTAGGAACGATTTATTCTGGCCCAGCCATTTCTTTTGTTTTCCTTGGGCCATTTCTACCTCTCTTCTCGTCCTGTCTTCTTCCCAGTCTTCCCATTGTGCCATGCAAAAGCAGACAGTGTTGCAACAAGAGATGTAGGAACATGAATGGATATGTTTTTAAGCAGCAAAACTATGGTTAGGACCAAGCCCACCTGACATGCTACAAGCACAGATAGCTTTGTTGGTCAATATCCTTCTTTTGAAAAAACTCAACCAAAATTCACTCAATTATGAACCTTTTTTCCTCCAAATAAAGGTATTCATTTAGCTAAAAACAAAGAACTATGAGTGCCACTATGATTCGGGGGGAGAAAGAAAATCCATCATTCATCAACTTAATGAGAGGTTTTGAAGCTGTCATTGTCTTATCAGCTAAATGATGCATACATTTAGAGACACAGTGATCTATCATAATGTCATTAGAGATGGTTATAATGTACTCTATAATGTACTCGGACTCTATAATGTACTTCCCAGAGTCATTATGAAGTGTCTGAATCTCATTACAGAACACCAAAAACAGCCTCAACACTGCCAACAGGATGCTTATTAGAAAGTTCGGCAATGAATTAAATCTTTCAGGCCTTACTTGGTTTTTCTGTACTTGGACTTAAGGTCATGCTTTTATTGCTGCAAGCTATTATTGAAGTATGGGCCTTCTGTGATTTGATCATTCTAAATGATAAGGACAAATGTTGCTTATCAATGAATATTTTGAGCCAAAAGTAACAAAAATTATCTTCCACTGTTAAACTTCTAAACTTGAAGCATTATTTTGCAAGTTCCTCAGTGTTTGGTACAATATGTAGAGATTTATCTAGGCCATTCAGCATTAACCACTCATCCCACTTGATAGGAAAATGAATGCCCATGTTTATTAGTATATTAGAAAATAAGCAATTTGCACATGACAGTGGCCTAGTTTCCTAGAGTGCTCTGCTTTGGTACAGTTAAAGATATGACTTATTATAAAAACAAGTCCCTCCCCCCTCCAAAAAAAGCACATAACTCTCTAATTAAGACACTGTGCCTTCTAATGAATCATGTCAGGAAAGCAAAGAATGTAAAAAAACAAAGTTTGGAAGGCATATGAGTAAAGATGCTCAAACACCCCCTCAAATCCCTGCATCAGATGGCACACGAACAATGAGAGGGTGGAAAAAAACATGAAAAAAAAAAAGATCTCCTTCACCCATCACACTTCTGCCTAATACATACTCACTTTACATGTGCTTACACAAAACTCCATCAAAAACAGAAAGAGAAATGTTTGAAGTGTAAATAATTTCACGAGAGAACTATAAAAAACTGAAAAATCAGTTAAAAGCCTACTTTTTTTTTTTAAATAAGTGGCTTTGTGTACTTTAAGAATAAAAAGATTTAAATCAAAGAATGATAAAAATTATGGCGAAACCAATTCCCTTTAGGAAAACTCAGGGTTTGAAACAGGAGCATGGTAGGAATGTGTAGCTGAAGCCTCAATGATGTTAAGCAGTCTGCTGCTCTCTAAGGCAGGGTTCTCTGAATGTGAAACTAACTGGCACCTTGTCCCTGACCCATCCTCACTACCTGCTGAACTCTTTTGTCTGTGAGAAAACAAAGCAAGAATTTGAAGCAGATAATTCAGACTATGCAAAAGAGTTAATGTTTTTGTAAGTCTGTTATTATTCAGAAACTGATATAAATTATTAAGCACAGAAATTATCTCACCTAAGAAGGAAAGTGGAACTTGTCAATTTGCTGAGCTCAGAAAGCCAAAAGCAGCCTCTCTGTCCATTGGCTGTCCTACTTCCGCTACCTATTAGAGTGTATCCTGCCACGGATATCCTGGATGCTCCCATCACTGCTGTGCTGGCAGAGTCTACGACGTTTGAGGTGAAGGTGAGGAGCTCTGTGTGTGAATGACTCAGTGACTGCACGTATCTGCTACAGGAAAGGTCAAATGCTGACTTTCTATATACCATTACAAAGGGTTCAAATTATTGTGCTTACATGGTGTCATCCATACTGAACTCTTTGAAAGTAGTGACTCAAATCAGCCTTTCTATCTACAGTATTTTTTCTTTCTCTTTTAGCATCTGGTACCTGGAAGGCACTCAAATGTAGGTAGAATATATGAAGTCAATAAAATTAGATGTATAAACACTGACTACTAATAACAATTCTATCTTTCACCCACACTCATGTCAGCCTTTTCTCATAGAGGGATAACAAGAAAATATCTTTCTTCTTCTTTTTTTAAATAATATGTTGTCATTATTCATTGTTTAAGTAAAATTTTAGAATTTATTCTTCATGTTATTTAATATTCATGTTCTTCATATTGAATATTATTCTTTAATGAGGTCTGAAATAATACTAAAATGATACTGAGAAGACACTGGCCTTTATTTTTCTCTATACTCTGTTAGTATTTGGAACAGTTTTTTACACACTCATTCTATATATTATTATGCTTTTAATGTATAACAATATTCCTTCAACTATTCCTAAAATGTTGTTAAGGCTGGTAGCTCTGGGAAGCACCCCTCTAGTTTAGGGCATGTATATACCTTCAGTGAAGCCAACAGGCTTCTTCACTCCTTTTCAAAGGTGTTTACATCATTTTAATAATGCTAACGCATCGTAACACATTTTAGGTTTTCTTTTTTGTTAATCATTCTTACAGTTTTTGATTATTTACCTCAGCAGGAAATTCCACATAGGAATAGGGAATAAAAATAGGGAATAGGAATAGGAACTGGAAAGCTAGGAAGACTTAAGATTGTGGAGGATAGCCTTAAAGTTCTGATTAAAGTCAGCTTTACGTTGACCTTGGCTCACTTTTTAGTTTATTACAAAAGAGAACAGGCAAGGGTGGGTGAATATATCATTATGAACTCATAACCAGTACCTGACCAAAATACCCACCCCAAAGCACAAGATATAGGTACTAGTATTGTCTCAATTGTAAAAATGAAAGAGACTGATACAGAGGATAAGTAACTTGTCCTAGCTATACGACCTTCGAAAACTTACTCAACCTCTCTGTGCCCCAGTCTCCTTACCTATAAGAGGCTTAATGATAATACCTGTGTCATAGAAATGTGACTTAAATTCAATAACTTAATATAAACACCTAGGATACTGCCTGCAGATAGGTATTCAAATAGCTGCTAGTTAAAAAAAAAGGACTTCTATTGGTAAGACTAAAGTTGTAATTTAATTTTCATTTTATATGTTATTAAAGCCGTTACTTTCTCTTGAAATGCTTCTCTTCATCTGTGATCCACACCACATCAAATCTGTGCCCTGTGTGAATGGTACAATCTAGCATGCTCCTCTAGAGATGGCTGGCCTTGGCAGATGATTTCAGTTTTGACAGCTACCCTACTTGATGACCAGGAAATGAAGTATCATACCTTTCTAAAAGTGCTGGCAGAGTAAGAGTGAGCAAATCCTTCGAAGTCTCCTCTAAAAGGTAAAAACCTCCAGCTATATAATATTCCACTAGTCTCAAGCTCTTGAATATTAGTTTTAAAAGAGCCACAGAAGGAAGAACTATTAAATTGCTCCCATAGCTTGCTGCTGTAGCTGAATATTTCTTAGAGCTAGCACTGAAGTCCACTCCCTATTAGATTGGGCTGGGTCCTGAAGCAGCATTTGCTCTAGGAAGTAATGACCAAGTGATTTCAAGAAAAGATTGAAGGGCTCAGAGGGTACATTTGCCTTTAGCGGGTTGTAAAACATTTGTAGAAAACCATGGCAACCTCTTAGAGTCAATCTTCAAACACATGTTAAACTTGCTTCTCAAGGGGAATTTTATTTTAACACTACAAGGATTAGTTAGAACAGACAAAATTCTACCCTAAAGCAGAGATTTCCAAAATAATTCAGGATATGCTTGTATCTATCCAACAGATATAAAGCCTGATTATATTCAATTAGTCTTTTGTGACCAGTGGGTTTAGGTTTTAATTCATTTATATTGAGAGGAAAAAAAAATTTCCATTTGCTTCAGAAAAATGCCCATTCAAAACAGAACTCTCAATTTTTCTTCTAATTCCTTTGGAGAGTTACTTAACCGTGTCTTTTATATGAGTAGTTTCTCTCCTTTGTCATATATATTATATTTTAAAAAACTCAGTAGATTGAAGGCAGGCCCAGGAAGACCCCCCGGTCATTGTGGTCTATCAAAAATCCCCTCCCATATTTCCAAATGCCTTTCCCACATCTCCCACTGTCTCCATCTGAATGCTTTTTCTTGAAATCTACAGAGTCCAGCAAATGGCGTTGAGTTTTCTGGGCAAGGAGAACTTTCAATGCATTTAAAATCCTTGGCATGGTAACCTGGTTAGTCTACCCTACAAGCCAAACAAATAAAAATCTCCTTCCACAGTAAAATGGTTTGGGTTTCTTGAAACTTCCCTTAAAAGAAAGCTGACTGCAGAGAATGATGAAGATACACACTTTTGTAGGGGTGAAAGGGAAAGAGCAAAGAGACTGTTTTTAAAGAATTATTTCGCAGAGCACCTACCACATCCAGTACTCAACGGTTTTGTTTTTTTTTTTTTTTTTGAGTAGAATATAGGAGTCTCTCTGGCCAAGTGCAGTGGCTCACACCTATAATCCCAGCACTTTGGGAGGCCAAGGTGGGTGGATCACCAGAGGTCAGGAGTTCGAGACAAGTCTGGCCAACATGGCGAAACCCTGTCTCTATTAAAAATATAAAAATTAGCCAGGTGTGGTGGTGTTCACAATCCCAGCTACTGGGGAGGCTGAGGCAGGAGAATTGCTTGATCCCAGGAGGCAGAGGTTGTAGTGAGCCGAGATCATGCCACTGCACTCCAGCCTGGGCAACAGAGCTAGACCCTGTATCAAGAAAAATAGAAAAACAAACAAAAAAAGAGTCTCTGGCCCCAGGATAAAAGGTATTAGATAAATGGGGGTATTCAAATGCTGTATTTTGGTGGGGGGCAGTCAAGATGACTATGAGTTGTAGAAACATGACATTTTTACTACATAAACACTATCAAATAAAAGACAAATCAAACGAAATGTCTTATACTCTAACCATTTTAAAGCTAATCACCACTTGAATGTATCCCTCAATTACATTTTGACCTTTGCGTTAATTGCTTATTCAAATATTAGTTGGTCCTTAGAAAGATTCTGTTTGCAGTACTGCAGTCAAGTTTTAAATTGTGAAAAGAAAAGCTTACCAAATAATTGATGACATAAAATCGATCATATTCTCTGTTCTTAGGATTAATCTTACGATGTTGTTTTTTCCTCATATGATCTTTAAGTGTATTTTTGTCCCTGAAGGTCTTCTCACAGTACAAGCACTGCAAACTAAAAGAAATACACAAACACTAATAAACAAGTCTCTTGTATAGTTGCTGCAGTAATCCTTTATTATTATTGAGTTTTGTATTTATTCACTTTAGGTCACACAGAATCTTCAAATGGGATATAGCATCCTTGTCAGAATCCCCCCTCACTTTACTCATTTGGCTTTGCAGCATGCATATTATGGAGTATTTTGTAGTTAGCTAAGTTGGCAACTTGGCTATTTAGTTACAACTGTGACAAAGATAGGTAACATCCAAAAATGGTTTTGGTTCTTCACTAACTGAATTACCTATTCTAAAGTAAGTAGGTAGGTATGTTCTTCAAATAATTATAATGACTTGCACTTACTGCACCCATTGTATATAATAATTGATACATGGTTTGGGATATCTTGTGAGCTGATCTGCAGGGTTTAATTCCTTGCTCCAGTGCCAGCTAGATGTGGAACTTGGTAAAGTTACTTGCCTGTCGTTGCCATTTTCTGATTTCTAAACTGAAGATAATACCAACATTTTAGAGATTTTTAAATGACAATTTAATATATATATTCATTTATTTATTGAGCACTTACTGTGCCTGATGAACTGTGCTAGATATTGATTCATGTATGTGAATAAGATAAATAGTAGCTGTTACCACCATATAATCCTCATATACCTTCTGCTTGAATATTTTCACTGACTAGGCATTCATTGCCTAATGAAGCAGTGATTACCAGTTTTGAGCAGATTATTAACAAAAGGTCTTCCTCATACTAAGCTTGACAATTGATACAACATGTATTAAAACTGCTACTCAGCAAAAAGTAGAGAGTTCTACTTTGTGGAGCTACATGGAGTCTAGTATCCTTTACATGGGAAACTCTCAAATGGTTGCAATCTGTTACTGTTTCAATTTTGAATTTGTTTTTATCTCTACTAAATACCTTTTCATCAATTTCGTATGCCAAAGAATATATTCCAGGGTATAAGAATATCCTTTTGTAGTATATTCTTTTATAGTAGAAAATTTACAAATGATAAGCTGATTATAGATATTCATTATTGCTAATCTTGCTAGAAGACACATCTGGTCTTATAAATAGTCATTTAACAAAAGGGTGAAGTCAGGACTCAATTTAACATAGTGTTGATATCAGAATTTAAGAATTTTTTATAATTAATCTGTATCACTTGCTATGTCTTTTCTTTTAATGTTGTTGCTATAAATGTTGTGGGTTGAGGCATCACAATTGTTGGTATTTTACTTAAATTAAAAAAAAAATGGGGTTCTCAGAGAAAAAATCTTGGGCCCTTTCCTAGAAAGAAAAGTGGTTATATTTTTGAAAGTCATTTTGTTGATCTAAATAATTTTCTTCCTTTTTCAACAGGCTAAGCTCTAGATATGATTGCCGAGGTTGCTAGAATATGACCTTGAAGAAATAGAGTATTATATTATATACAAATGTGAATGAAAACCAAAAGGCAGAAGAATACAAACAGTATGCTATGTTTCACACAAAATCAAATACTATACCATCATTTGACATTATATTTACCTTATTAAATATATAGTATAGACAAGTTACAGTGAAAGGTAAAGGAATTGCAATTCCAAAATTAAGAATAGTGGTTTCTGGGGAAATCTAATGAGGAAAAGCACACAGGGAGATTCAAAGGAATTAACAACGTTCTATTTCATAGACTAGACAGTGAGTATATTCTTCATATCCTGTATGGCATATGCTGTATGATATGTATATTGTTTGGTATATATGACATAGTATATTTGAAAAATTTAAAAAACACCAAAGGGCAATATGATTTAGACAAAATAAGGACTGTCATACAAAATATGAACTCCTTGAAAATGTGAAATTCCCACTTCTTTAATTACTCCGACTATTAAATTAAAAAAAATTCGCAACAGAGTCCAAGATTAAAATAGCTTTAGGCAGTGTTTCATAAATCAGTACCTACTTGTCAAGCTTTTTCTGTAATGTACACAAAAATTCATTGCAGTTTACAATGTTGTCTGGCAATCCAATGTTGAAAGCATGTTCTCTGGCCATGTGGTTCAAAAGAACAGATCTAGGAAGAAATTTGAGCAATTAGGATTATTCACAAATCATCTAAGAGCACATTTGGGTTGATAGCATTCACATAATAAAAACACTAATTAGAGGTATAAGCAAGTACTAAACACTAACACAAACATTTTAGCTATTAAAGAGTAACATTATAAAGTATGTAAGTATACACAGTCACATTAGTTCTGTAAAGGGATGTCAAAGTTCGTTCTACTATTTATTGCTTGGCTACACTCCATAGAAGAATCAGGTTCTGTCCTTTAAACCAGGAGTATCAGTCCATGGCCTGTTAGGAACCAGGCTACACAGAAAGTGGTGAGAAGCGGACAAGTGAGCATTACCACCTGGGCTCTGCCTCAGATCAGCGGTGGCATTAGATTCTCATAGGAATACAAACCCTATTGTAAACTGTGCATGAGAGGGATCTAAGTTGTGTACTCATTATGAAAATCTAGGGCCTGATTATCTGAGGTAAAATACTTTCATTCTGAAACTTGTCCCTGGTGCCCAAAAGGTTGGGGATCACTGCTTTAAACTATTAAATTAATTGTGTTTCTTTTACTTTTCCAATTAATCATGGAGAAGAGTAAGAAGCGACTGCCTAACGTAAATATGACCTATGACCTAAGATCACAGGCATTTAGCCAGTCTATCACTTGACAATGACCTGGAACCCACAGTTAACAGGTCTAATTACATGCAAGGGCTGTGATAACCTGCAAACACAATGACTAACTTCTTGATTAATTTATACAGAAAAGGACAAATGTAATTATGTAACTTTTACACAGCAAAAAAAGTATATGTGTATAATACGTTCTACAGAGTCTTTATCACAACTTTAGTTCATAAAATAAAGGTGGCCGTTTTGGATATATCTGTATAAGTACCATGGATAGTCTGACTATGCATGGTCAGTAAAAGTACCATTGATAGACCATTGAGAGACTGATTATGTATAGCGACATATTATGTGGTTTTATCTAGATTATTTAGATACCTACCTAGCCCCCCAAAAATGTTTTTAGTGGTTTTTTTTCCCCTTGAGAAAGTGAAATAAAGAAATAAAACAAACATTTCTATAAAAATGTTTGACTTTTTTTTTTTTTTTTTTTTTTTAAACTATGTAGGAAGCCGGGCGCGGTGGCTCAAGCCTGTAATCCCAGCACTTTGGGAGGCCGCGGCGGGTGGATCACGAGGTCAAGAGATCGAGACCATCCTGGTCAACATGGTGAAATCCCGTCTCTACTAAAAATACAAAAAATTAGCTGGGCATGGTGGCACGTGCCTGTAATCCCAGCTACTCAGGAGGCTGAGGCAGGAGAATTGCCTGAACCCAGGAGGCGGAGGTTGTGGTGAGCCGAGATCGCGTCATGGCACTCCAGCCTGGGTAACAAGAGTGAAACTCCGTCTCAAAAAAAAAAAAAACAAAAAACAAAAAACAAAAAAACTATGTAGGAGACACATTTATTCATCTTGTGGTTAATATGTTCATTTGTCTTACTGATAAGTTTGATGAAAACTACTTGTTAGGGTAGTTCACAGTGCCTTTTGGGCCCACAAAGGTTCTCCCAGGGGCATCCCCGACAGAGCTTTTCAGGGGTTCCAGACCTGAGGCTCAGGCTGTGGAAAAGTTCAGGTGAAAGTAGAGCTGGGAGCCTCTTGCAGGCAGTGTGGTAGGGGTGTAGGGGTGTGTGTGTGTGTGTGTGTGTGTGTGTGTGCGTGCGCGTGTTGGGAGTGTGTGTGTGTGTGTGTGTGTTGGGAGTGTGTGTGTGTCAGGCAGAGGGTTAGAAAGCTCCCTCTACCCCCAAGGCCATGTTGGGGTAAAGTACAGTGCCTCTGGATCCAGAGAGGTTCTCCTAGAGTGGCTGAGCCATAGTTAACATCTGCCTAGAACTTCCAGGATAAAGATGCAGACCCTAGATTGTGCCTGGGTGCTGTCAGAAATAATATCTGATTCAAGGGGTATGGGTGGGTTGGGAGGTTTCCCTCACCACCAGGCTATCTAGGATCAAAATGTCTTGCCATTAAGAGTCACAATCAATGTACTCATGGGAACCTAATCCTGCTCTCAGCCTCTCTGGGGCCCAAGAACCTGGCATCTCGAGTCTGAGTTAGGAGATGAGATGCCAGTGGTTGGCTCATGGGGTAAATGAGTTTGGAGGCTCTGCCAGTCTTGAAGACTCTGTTCAGGTAAGCATAGTGGTTTCTGGGATCTAAGGATTGGTTCAGTAAGGCTTTTGACCCCAGCCAGTAGCTTGCTGGGAGGGATGTGGGTGGAATTGGCTGACAGCCGTTAGAACTTGTTTCCAGGCTTAGCTAGGCCAGGACTTCTTGACTCCAAAGTGTTCCTCCAAGAGCATCCAACCCTGACAGGTCTACCAAGTACTTTCAGGCTTGATACCCAAGGCTTGGAATGGACCAAGATACAGTAGCTGGCTCAAGAGGTACTGATGTATCTGCTAGGTACACTTAGTACTAGGTGTACTAGGAAGGTCCCCATGATCCCAGGCTCTGTTGCCCCACTGAGAACATGCCTGTATGAACAAAGACTGCTCTGAACTTTTTTGGGGCTTCTCAGCCAGGAATATAGTTATTGAAAGTGAGGGAATGAGGGCTAACAAGCAGCTGTCTTGAAGCAGATAGGAGTGTTAGGAGGCTACCCTGGCTACATACCTAATTGCTACCATCTCTAATACCTTCTGGATCCAGGACAGTTCTACCACAGTGGGCCAAAATTGAGCTAGGTTTGCCCAAGGGTTCTATGACTGACATCAAAGAGCTGGAAGGGGACTGAGTGAAGGCAAAGTCAGTGCTAGGAAAAGGGTTGGCGGGGTTAACAGTCTTCATTTGGTACCATGCTGTGATGTGATGGTTGCTGATGTCTTCTGGTTTCACAGGAGGTTCCCCTAGGAGTGGCCTAGTCTTAGCCAGGACTACCGAGGGTTCCAAGGCTGATATCCAGGCTCCGAAAGTGGAGCCAGGTACAGATGGAGCTGGTAACAGACTCAAGAAGAGGCTGGCTGTCCTCTCCTATACTATGATCGTTTATTTAATATGTCAGCTTGACCTGGTTAAAGGATGCCAAGATAGTTGGTAAAAGCAGTGTATCTATATGTGTCTGTGAGGATGTTTCTGGAAGAGATTAGCATTTGAATCAGCAGACTGAGTAAAGAAGATAGCCCATACCAATGAGGGGAGGCATCATCCAAGCCATGGGGGCCCAGATAGTTGAGCTGGGAAATTCTTCTCCTGTTCCTAGACACTCAGGTTCCTGGTTCTTGGACCTCTAGACTCAGACTGAATTTACCCCTGCCTTTCTTGGATCTCCAATTTGCAGATAGCATATTGTGGCACTTCTTGGCCTCCATAATTGTGCAGGCCAATCCCCATAAGTATCCTCTTATATATCTATATATACTATTGGTCCTGTTTCTCTGGAGAACCCTGACTAATACAAGTACCTAATTGGTTTGCTGGCTAATTCAAAATTAGCTTGATTCAGCCTGTTGTCTGAGGTGAGAAGAGACAGAAGGCTTCACCCTTCTAGCCACAGTTGCTGGTTGGTAAAGGGCCAAGAAAATCTTTGAAGCTTTGAAGTAGAGATGGCACCTTGTGTGATCTGCTTGTCAGATTTTGAAGTCCTTCAATTCCTGATCAGGAAGATGATTCCTCAAATTGCTGAATTATTGCTTTAATTTTTAAATTAATCCCTAATGTCAATTTGCTTTAATTTCTGGGAAATTAAATGCATAACAGTTTAAATTATTATTTTAATGTCTTTCTTTATAAACTTATTTTTTATTAATGACACAGTTTTTCTTCAAATTACAAGTTTCACATAAACTTACATTTTTCATATTTATAAACAATCCCCAATTTATAGATGGTCTCACTTTGAGTACTCATACAACCATTTTGCTTTTTATTTTCAATTTAATTGCATGAGATATTCAAAATTTTATTATAAAATATGGTTTGTGTTAGACAATTTTGCCCACCTATAGGCTAATGTAAGTGTTCAAAGCATGCCTAAGGTAGGTTAGGTATATTAAACATTTTTGTGACTTATGATATTTTAAATGTACAATGGCTTTATTGAGATGTAACCCCACTGTAAATCAAGGAGCACTGGTATTCTATTTTTTCACATTCACAATGGTCTTTAAAAGCATGTAATAATTATAAATAAATAAATAATATCTTTTGGGCTGAAATGAAGTTTTACTTAAAATATTATTTCATGCACTTTTCTCTTTCAAATATTCTTTCCTCTTTAGGAATAAATGTTTCCCTACATAGTGATCTCTGATCTTTTTTTTTTTTTTTTGCTGATTTCATACAGTATGTAATCAGTTTTTGCTAAACTTATAAATGTGATTTGGCCAAACAGAATTAAATTAAAGAAACAGCTTTGAGAGAAGCAGTTTTGGAACTTTGGGGCATGGACCTCTGAAAATCTGCTCCTCTATTAAAGCAGCAGTAGCACTGGTGAAAACAGTCAAAATCAACTTTTTAAGGGCTCTGGAATTAACAGGAGGCAAGCAACAGTTCAAGGAACATTTATTTAGGAAACACGGGTCAACTGTGGGAAGAATGGTGAGCTTTGTGATGTTTTAATTTGCCCCCCTTAGCTCCACAACAGCCTTGACAAGAGCAGCCTCACAGCCACTGGAGGGGGCCATTCTGAAAGAACTGTTATAAGAACTGTTACTATTCAGCCTGTATGGCAGGTAATGGGAAAAGGCCCATTCACAGTTTGTCTTTCTGACATGATTCAGTACACCCACTGAAAAAATTCTCCCCACTAGGGCATTTGCCAGAAACGATCAGAAACAATTTTGTAACATCACAGCTGCCCAAGGCAATACTAATTGCAGCAAACAATAGCCCAAACACATTAAAAGGAGTGTTTGGGTAATGAGGTGTCTATAGAGGACTTTGACAAGTTGACATTTTCCTGGGGAAACTAGAAGGCAATATATATGTGCCCATCTATGTATGCCCTGGAAAAACCTGTGAAGATCCTAATCTATCACCTCCGGTCGACCCTGAGACTCTACACAAGCATGAAGTAAAGACTAAAGCAGAACTGTAAACTGATGAAGTGTTGAAGGTGTGCTCCAACTCACATACAGAGCCCCTTGGTAAAGGGCAGAAGATATAATGGTTTAAAGCATTTAAGGAAATCTCTGACCATTAGCTGAACACTAAGCTAACTGTGAAGAGATTTCAGTGGCCACACATTTGCAATAATACATACTTTGGGGAATTAGTCCAAGAAAGTCACTAAACACACAAAAGTAACAAAAACCCTGGTGGGGTGGAGGAAAAATTCGATTTCCAGAGTCACCACATTATATTACTTAAATGTTGAGTTTTCAACAAAAAAATTACAAGACATGCAAAGAAATAAGAAACTTTCATCCATACACACAGGGGAAGAAAGCAGAAACAGAAATCACCCCTGAAAAGGCCAGATGCTGGACACAGTAGACACAGACTTTAAGTTAGCTAATATAAATATGTTCAAGAGAACTAAAGAAAACCATGTCTAAAGAATAAAAGGAAATTATGAAAATATCTTATGAAACAACACCAAAAAAAGATATGAATTATTAAGTATTTGATTTTTTAAAAATGTTGCTCTATAGACAGAGCACAGATATCTCATAGGAAGACTGGCCCAGAGTAGCAAGAAATTATTAAAAAAAAAAATAGAAATTTTGGATTTGAAAAGCACAGTAAATGAAATGAAAAACTGACTAGAGGGGCTTAAAAGATTTAAACTGGAAGTAAGACTCAGTGAATTGGAAGATTGGTCAAATGAAATTTTCCAGTCTTAGAAACAGAAGAAAAAACAAACAAAAAAACAGAGCTACTGAGATCAAGTTTACCAACATACGTATAATAGGATTTCCAAAAGGTGAGTGAAGAAAGAGAGAGACAGACAGAGAGAGAGAGAGAGAAAAAGAGAGAGGGCAGAAACAACATTTAAAGAAATAGTGTTTGAAAACTTTTCAAATATGAGGAAACACATAATCTTTAACATCTAAGAAACCCAATAAACTTCAAGTAGAACAAATCAAGAGAATTAATGCAAGAAAATCACTAAACACACAACCAGCAACACAAATCCTGGTGGGGCAGTTAGGAATCTGATTGATGATCTCTGTAGCTGTTTATTTATTTTGTTGTTGTTCGTTTTGTCTTCTATTCTGAAGACTGGAAAATCTCAATTGAACAATCTACAAATTCACTGATTCTTACCAAGAGATAAGACATCCTTATCAAGACAGGCAAAGACAAAGTGAATGTCTTAAAAGATGCAAGAAAAGAGTCAACTCTTTACATACAGGCAGGTGATCCTTAATAAGACTACCATTTGACTTCTCACCAGAAATTATGAAAACTAGAAGGCAGTAGAATGCCATATTCAAAGTGCTGAAGGAAAAAGACTGTCAATCAAGAATTCTATATCCCATAACTGTTACTCAAAAAATGATGGAAGGAAAAAAATGAAGGAAATCAAGACATTCCCAGATAAACAGAAACTGAAAGAATTCATTGTTGGCAGAACTCTCCAACAAGAAACTGAAGAAAGTTCTTTAGGTTAAAAGAAAGAGACACTAGACAATAACTCAAATCTACATAAAAAAATAAAGATTACCAGTAAAGGTAATTACATAAGTAAATATAAAATACAGTATAATTGCATTTTATAATCCTTTCTTCTCATATCTGATATGAAAGATAATTGTACAAAGCAGTATTGAGAAAAAATGTTCATGAGCTGATAATATATAAAGGTATAATATGTATGACAACAATAGCACAAAGGAGTAAGGAGGAAACAAATTACACTGAAGCAAAGTTTTTGCATATTATTGAAATTAAGTTATTAATCTGAACCAGATTATTTTCAATTAAAATGTTAATTCCAATCCCCAGGGCAACCACTAAGAAAAAGAGTTCAAAATCCATGGTACAAGAAACAATGGAACTAAAACCACACACTAGAAAATACCTATTCAACACACAAAAAAGGCAACAATAAAGGATAACAATGAAAAGACCTAAAACATATTGAAAACAAATAGCAAAATTGTAGAAGTAAACGTGATCTTATTAAATTACATTAAACAAAAATGAATAAAGCACCACAATTAAAAGGTGAAGACTGGCAGAATGGATCAAAAATGATCCATCCAACTGTCTATAAAAGATATACTTTAGACACAAACAGGTTAAAACAAATAATGAATGGTGTGGAAGAGAGGAGAAAAAGTAGATGTACGGTAACAATAAAGTACTTATTATCCTTATCTGTTATTAACCTCCTTCTTTCTATTTTTATGTCTGATTGCACTGTGGTCTGATAGACTACTATGATTTCTGTTCTTTTGCATTTGCTGAGGAGTGATTTGTTTCCAATGATGTGGTCAATTTTAGAGTTAAGTGCAATGTGGTGCTGAGAAATATGTATATTCTGTGGATTTGGGATGGAGTGTTCTGTATATGTCTATTAGATCCGCTTGGTCCAGCTCTGCATTCAAGTCCTGGATACACTTGTTACTTTCTGTCTTGTTGATCTGTCTAATATTGACAGTGGAGTATTGAAGTCACCCACTATTATTGTGTGGGAGTCTAAATCTCATTTTAGGTCATTAATAACTTGCTTTATGTATCTGGGTGCTCCTGTGGTGGGACCGTATATATTTAGGATAGTTAGCTCTTCCTGTTGGATTGGTCCTTCTACCATTATGTAATGTCCTTCTTTGTCTCTTTTGATCTTTGTTGGTTTGAAGTCCATTTTATCAGAGACTAGGATTGCAACCCCTGTTTTATTTTGTTCTTCATTTGCTTGGTAAATCTTCTTCCATCCCTTTATTTTGAGTCTATGTTTGTCTTTGTATGCGAGATGGGTTTCTTGAATACAGCACACCAATGGGTTCTGACTTTTTATCCAGTTTGCCAGTCTGTGTCTTTTGATTGGGGCATTTAGGCCATTTACATTCAATGTTAATATTGTTATGTGTGAATTTGATCCTGCCATTTTGTTACTGGCTGGTTTTCTTTCTCATTAGTTGACTCATTTTCTTAATTGCATTTTTGGTCTTTGCCAACTGGTTTGCTTTTGCAGTGACTGGTACTTGTTCCTTTCCATGCTTAGTGTTTCTTTCTGGAGCTCTTGTAAGGCAGGTCTGGTGGTGATAAAATCTCTCAATAATTGCTTGTCCGTAAAGCATTTTATTTCTTCTTCATTTGTGAAGCTTAGTTTGGCTGGATATGAGATTCTGGTTTTAAAGTTCTTTTCTTTAAGGATGTTGAATATTGGCCCCCACTTTCTTCTGGCTTGTAGGGTTTCTGCTGAGAGATCTGCTGAGTCTGATTGGCTTCCCTCTTTGGGTGACCTGACCTTACTCTCTGGCTGCCCTTAGCATTTTTCCCTTTATTTCGACCCTGGTGAATCTGGCAATTATGTGCCCTGGGGTTGCTCTTCTTGAGGAATATCTTTGTGGATTTCTCTGTATTTCTTGAATTTGAAATTTGGACTGCCTTGTTTGGGAAGTTCTCCTGGATAATATCCTGGAGTGTGTTTTCCAGCTTGGATTCATTCTCCGTGTCATATTCAGGTACAACGATCAAGTGTAGATTAGGTTTTTTCACATAATCCCATATTTCTTGGAGGCTTTTTTCATTTCTTTTCACTCTTTTTTCTCCTGTATTGCCTTCTCTTTTTATTTCATTAAGTTGATCTTCAATCTCTGATAACCTTTCTACTGCTCAATCGATTTGGCTATTAAAACTTGTGTTTGCTTCACGTAGTTCTCGTGCTGTGTTTTTCAACTCCATCAAGTCGTTTATGTTCTTCTCTAAGCTGGTTATTCTAGTTAGCATTTCGTCTAACCTTTTTTCAAGGTTTTTGGTTTATTTGCATTGAGTTAGAATGTGTTCCTTTAGCTCTGAAAAGTTTGTTATTATCCACCTTCTGAATCCTGTTTCCATCAATTCTTTGCACTCCTTCTTGGTCAAGTTGTGATCCTGTGTTGTTGAGGAGTGTGATCCCTTGAAGGAGAAGAGGTGTTCTGGTCTTTGATGGTTTCACCTTTTTTGAGCTGGTTTTTTCCCATCTTTGTGGATTTACCTGGCTGTGGTGTCAGAGAGCTGCTTGATGAGGTCGTTTGTCTGCCTGTGGGGGCGCTACTGGGTTTCTAGGGACTCCTTCAGGTTACTAGGGAAGCTTCCTGTGTCTTTTTTGTTTATGCTGGGAGATTAGGCCTGCCTCTTCCGCTGACCTGTAGGCACTGCTGGGTTGTCAAGAATACTGTGTCCCTTTGCTATGTAGGCTTCCTGTGTTTTTTGTTAAAACATGTAGTCCAGTCCCACCCCTCTAGTGGTGGGTTGTGCCCTTCCTCCACTGGGCTGGATCATTCAGGGTTCATCTCAGACTGTGGCACTAGCTACGCAACCCACTAGAGTCAGAGTTCCAGCTAGGGCTGGCGATAGAACCACCAATGCCCCCACTTCTTTTTTATGTCTTTATTTTTAATAATCAAAAGTGAAAAATTAGCAATGACTTAGAGGAAACAAGTTAGTATACAGAGGTGGATTTGCAGTAGTTTGTTGCATACTACTGGTCTTGCTGGTCAGCTAATTTTAAAAGCCCTACAATATCAAACATAAATCTGCTTCTGTCATTTTAAGAATTTATTCTCCTCCACTGCTTAGAGCAACTACAGTCCATCTTTGATGTTGGGCGTATTTTTTTTAAAGTACTGCTTATATACAGAAGGGTCCTGAGCCAACACATATAACTTAATTTATATAACGAACAGGAATGTTTTGATGAGTTTTCAAATTAAAAACAGTAAACTTTAAAGATGCATAATGGCAAACCTGTTTCCAAGGAATTCTTCATTGCAAAACATACAAATGCCATGAAAATTGGTATCATTTCGTTCTTGCTGCTGTTGTTCCAGAATTTCTTTCTGGAAAGTAGAAACAGATTTATGGTATTATATTAATGCACAGTTGGCTAATAAAAAATGTCTAAGTCTGGATGGGAAGAAACTAGGCTGGAAGCATAAAGGGAGTATATAAAAGTTGCCAACATTTCAAATTTCTCTATTACTGTTTTTTCATTAAACTCCAAGTCTGTATCACAAAATGCTTACAGAACACTCTGCTTGAACAGCTACGTGGAAAATAAAGTGAACAAGATCTTACCATCCTTTGCTACCCTGTCTTTTCCAGTGTCCTCCCATCCTTACCCTCTTCCAAAAGCAAAACTGTGGTTAGATCTTTGATTTGCTCCTCTTGCTAATTCTCAGTTTAATTTGTAAACAAATTCTGATCAACTTTTCACTTGATTCACTTGATTTTTCGATACAACTTTTCTCCACCATTCCCAAGGTCACCCTTCAGTTTTTATTCAGTCATTGTGGGTTACTATAAATAAAGTCTCCTAAGGGGTCTCCCTGATTTCAATCACTTTTCCATCTAGAATTTTTCTTAATACTTTCATGCATAATTAATTTGTTGCACCTCAACTCAAATAATTTAAAAAATGCTCTAGTAATATCCTGCTACAATCAAGGTGGTTCCATGTGTCATTTTTCCTGAGGTCGTTTTATTTCCTTTTGCTTTTTCACTTTTACAAATCTTATCTGTTCATCAAGATTCTACTTGATTCCTGCTTCTACCATGCAACCATTTCTGACCACAGTACAGCAGTTAAGAGCTTAGGCTCTGAAACATGGAGCAAATCTGGATTTGAAATACGGCTGTCACATATAATTGATATTTAATGTCTTTAATCCTTAGTTTTCTCATTTTCTTTTTTATTATATATTAAGTTATGGGATACATTTGCAGAATGTGCAGGTTTGTTACACAGGTATACATGTGAGATGGTGGTTTGCTGCACCCATCAACCCATCATCTACATTAGGTATTTCTCCTAATGCTATCCCTCCCCTAGCCCCCCAATCCCCGACAGGCTCCAGTGTGTGATGTTCCCCTCCCTGTGTCCATCTGTTCTCATTGTTCAACTTCCACTTATGAGTGAGAAAATGCAGTGTTTGGTTTTCCGTTCCTGTGTTAGTTTGCTCAGAATGATGGTTTCCAGCCTCATCTGTGTCCCTACAAAGGACATAAACTCATCTTTTTTATGGCTGCATAGTATTCCATGGTGTATATGTGCCACATTTTCTTTATCCAGTCTATCATAGATGGGCATTTGGGTTGGTTCCAATTCTCTGCTATGGTGAACAATGCTGCAATAGATATTCATGTGCATGTGTCTTTGCAGTAGAATTATTTATAAGCCTTTGGGTATATAACCAGTAATGGGACTGCTGGGTCAAATGGTATTTCTGGTTCTAGATCCTTGAGGAATCACCACACTGTCTTCCAAATGGTTGAACTAATTCACACTCCCACTAACAGTGTAAAAGCATAAAAACCCTAGAAGAAAACCTAGGCAATACCACTCAGAACATAGGCATGGTGAAAGACTTCATGACTAAAACAATAAAACAATGTTAAAAAAAGCCAAAATTGACAAATGGGATTTAATTAAACTAAAGAGCTTCTGCATAGCACAAGAAACTATCATCAGAGTGAACAGGCAACCTACAGAATGGGAGAAAATTTTCACAATCTATCCATCTGACAAAGGGCTAATATCCAGAATCTACATAGAACTTAAACAAATTTACAAGAAAAAAAACAACCCCATCAAAATGTGGGCAAATGATATGAACAGACACTTCTCAAAAGATGACGTTTACACAGCCAAGAAACATAAGAAAAAAAAAAAACCCAACAAAAAGTGGGTGAAAGATATAAACACACTTCTCAAAAGAAGACAATTTTTCCAGTGTCTCCCTATTAATATGTTCTATTTCTACTAACTACATTTAACCTCTCTGCTCTAGAAAGATTTTCTTTCTGACCAATATTGTATAGAACTGGCTTTTTATAACATGCAGCTGAAGGGGATCTCCTGAAACTATCTACTGACTCCCTATAGGAGATGTTAGGAGATATATTTAAAGCTACATAGCTACTTGGTATGAAATTTGGTGCTATTTTCATGATACCACATTTACTTTTTTCTCAGAAGGTACCCACTGCAGCATATGCAGATACAGAGCTTAGAACAATGACTTTCCCATTTAGTGAACAAACAACTTCAGAATCCAGGGGACAGCGACCTGGAGGGGTAGGGGAGCATTCAAATCTTTATTACAAAATACCCACACAGAAGTCTCATAGAAATGAGTTGAATATAAATGAGCTGCTCCGCATTTGGGGCTGAAGACACACTGAAATACAGCCATTTTAGCCCCAAATGCGGAGCAGCTCATTTATATTGAACCAAAATATATGCAAATATAATTATTCCTCTTTCCAGCTTAATTGGAAAAAGAGGAATTCTAGATAAGTAGATTTTCTAGATCACAGAAATTTTAGTTTGATATTTGAAGGGTTAAGTTTCGTATAAGATGGTTTCTAAGACAATTCTTATGTTTTTCTGCATTCCAAATTCAAGACATAATTTAACCTGTTGTATATGATACAGGGTCTTTGCTGTGAACAATTACTACCAGACCCAACTGTAATACAAATGTATTTTATTTTAAGGATCACTTTGTAAATGACTCCAAACTGTTGTGCTCTTTTGGTTTAATTTTATTCTCTCTCTTCTATGGCCATGTATGTTTAACTCCCTTTATTCACTGAAGCTTTTCATCCCTATTTGTGGGTCTACTTCTACACCCAACAACTGGTTTCCCCATCTACACCTTTTTTCCATTTGCTATCCTCTGTTTAGATCTTCTGTTCTTTCTTTTAACCTGGAACAAAATTATAGGGACTTAGGGACTCCCAAAACTCAGCTAAGGAGAAACAGATCATCGAATTCTAAGAATAAAATTAACTCATGTATGTTTGGTACCTAAGAAAAAGTAGCTCCTAGTATCTTCCTTGATGAGTTGCAGGGGGATTATTTTTATCTGGTAAGGTTTATCTCTTATTACTGGGTTCTCTGCAATTTGGATCTACTGAGCTTACCAGATACTAGATAGATGGATTTATAGGAAAGACTTTCCCTGTACATATATTTTAAAAGTATGTTTATCTGATGCATTCTCAGAGGAATGGAAGACAAAATCTGACTGTAAATGGACCTGTAAAAAATTAATCTGCAAATATGTAATGACATTATCTGGAAATAAAACTAAAACTGGTAATCAATAAAATCTTAAGTAACACCTTAATGGCTCCTTGTTTTCTACTGAATATAATCCACAGTATGTAGCATGGCATTCACAATGCTCTGTACCTGATTCCAACCTAGGTTTTTTTGTTTTTTCTTTAGAGACAGGGGCTCATTCTGTCACCCAGGCTGGTGTGCAGTGGCATGATCCATGGCTCACTGCAGTCTCAATTTCCTGGCCTTAAGCGATCCTCCCACCTCAGTGTCCTGAGTAGCTAGACTACAGGCACACATCACTATGCCTGGTTAATTTTCTGTATTTTGTTTTGTAGATACAGGGTGGGTTTCTCTATGTTGTCCAGGCTGGCCTCAAACACCTGGGCACAAGCAATCCTCCTGCCTCAGCCTCCCAAAATGTTGGGCTTTATAGGTGTGAGCCTCTGCGCCTGGCCTCTAACCTAGATTTTTAAAAGTCTTCTCTCACGTTTCTTCCCCATATAACCTTACATTATAGGGTGAAGCAAGAACTCATGCTGTAATTTACCTGTGTTATTATTCTCAATAGCAGTTCTCAACTACCTACTATGATTTCTGGTGCCACTCAGTGGCCTGGAGTAATCGTTCCCTCTTTTGCCCATCTTTGCCTATTAGAGGGTCAGTTCAAATGCTGTATCTCTGTGGTGAGTGGAAAGAACAATGGCCTGACACTTAGGAGTTCTATATTCCTGTCTGGTTTTTGTGATGAAGTAGTTCTTAGTGTGGCCTTGGGCATGCCACTTCCCAGAACTCAGTTTCTGGTGATCTCCAAATTGCTTGTGAAATATTCTACAAATCATTAAAGTGACTTTCCCAGACTGCTTTTGTATTAGAAGTGATACTTCCTTTTTTTAATCACAGTTTTATAGCATTCAGTTGGCATCTACAAAGCTTGGTCTTCAGGAAAACTGCGTCCCAACCATCTCGACTCACAGAAAATGAGCTCCTCTATGCCATATGTACACACTTTCTTATAGTAGATTCTCATTAAATACATGATGACTAAATTTATACCACAGGTGCAACAACATAAACACAAAAATCTATGTGCTCTACTGAAAATCAAAATGGCTTTCGCAAAGGAAAGGGGTTTATAACACCCTTGATTATCCTTTACTGACATATAGTTGGCACTTATTATTTAGTTTACATTTCATTTATAAAGTAAAATGAGTTTCCCACAGAACAGTAAGTTGATAATTTGTTTAAACAAAGAGAATGGTCTACTGAATAAGTAAACTATTCTAAGAAATTTATTATGATGATTTTTTAAAATCCTGAAGTTGTTTTTTTTTTTTTTAAACTTACAATGGACAATTTTTATAAAATATATACAGAGATATACAGAGAATTTTACTTGGTATACGAGTAGAGCTTTGGGGATAGGTTTTTACTTTTAAAAACTCATTTTCACTTTTAATACTATAAACACAGCCTGGGCAACATAGGAATACCCCATCTTTACTAAAAATAAAACAATTGGCCAGGCATGGTGGTGCATGCCTGTAGTCTGGGTATCCAGGAGGTTGAGGTGGGATGATTACTTGAGCCCAGAAGCCTGAAGCTGCAGTGAGCTGTGATCATACCACTGCACTCTATCTAGCCTGAGCAAGACAGCGAGACCCTATCTGAAGAAAGAAATTAAAAACCTATGTTTTAAGAGCACAAATACAATATATTACTAAGGTGACTTTTTGAGCAAAATAGAAGATCCAAGTCATGATAAAGAAA